CAGTTTGGTCTTCCATCTTCAACTTGTTGTAAAATCTCCAAAACTCAATCAAATTGCTCAATTTTTTTTAGAATGAAGTTAGAACTGTCAGCTGTCAAATGACATAGCAATAACATAGATGCGAATGACTCTAGTATTTCCAAAAATGAACTAGTGCCATCTGTCACAAACATGTGTCATGACTTTTCTGACAACCCAATACTAAAACTTACACAAGGAGAAACAGATAATCTGAGTAGGGTTATATGTATTAAATAATTTAAATCAATATTTAATAACCTTCCAAAAAATAAAGCACTGGGGCCAGATGGTTTCATGGGTGAATTTTTCCAAACATTTAAGGACAAACTGATACCGATTATCTAGAATCTTTTCCAGAAAAATTGAAGAGGGTACATTTTCTAACTAATTCTAAGGGGCCAGCATTACCATAATATCAAAACCAGATAATGATATTACCAAAAGGAGAACTGTAGACCGTTATGTTCCATGAACATGTCCAAACTCCTTAATGTGGCTAGTTAGGCTTGGCATGACCAGGCCTAGCTCATCTTTCTAGCCTAATTTTCATGCCACTCCCCTTATCCCCAAACATTTTGTTCTAACCAAAAGGAACATTTCTCACGTCACTGAGGAAGATGATGATGATGATGACAACAGGAACAAGAACACCAAATGCTGCAATAACAACAACACCTTTTTAGTCATGGCTTTGTAATGTGTCACTTGGGTAGAAATTCCGTCCATGTATGTTTCTGGTTGGAGTGGGCTACAAGAGATATATTTGTGCAAGATTTGGAGGGCGGAACTGAAGCATTTTGTTTTTTTACGCTTGGAAAGTTGAAGCATGTGCTTTTTGTAGCTTATACATGTTGCTGCTTATCTGCTGCTCACCTTGGTGTGAGGCAACAGCAGGCCTGCAACCACTCCACCTTCCCTCCGGTCCTCCTTCACCTTTCCATCTACTGGGCCAGGTGTCTGTTTGGCTCCTAGATGAGGGGGACCAGCTTCTCCAGCAGGACGCCTAGCTTTCCAAGGTTGGAAGCCCTGAGAACTGACATGGGTTCCAGTCCATCCTTGTGGGCTCAGCTCGTGCTCATGAGTGCCAGCCTGTTGTTGCTCTACCTCACTTTATATCCCTCTTCACTTCCTGACTGTTTGCTCTGCAGACCTCAAGCTCCATCATATGATGCAAAGATGATAGCTTTACAGACTGTAATCTGTTCCTCAAATTGCACAAGACTAAATCCCTGTAACAAGTCTCTTATGAAATATATTTTCCTCCTACTGGTTCTACTTCTCTGGTCAAACCCTGATGGATACAAGTGCTTACTCTGTGCCAGATACCGATACAAGCCAACTGCTTATATTATAACTCATTTAACCTACACGATGATCCTATGACATAGGTAGGGATGGGCATTTAGAGGATAAGAAACTTGCCCGACATTATACAGCTACTAAATGGCTAATAAGGTGACCATGTTATATTGGTAGGTGATGAATGCACATTCCAAAGCAATGTATTTTAAATGAGTCAACTTTTGTTAACAAGACTAATGAAAAATGTCTGCATATGTATAGAAAAAATTCTGAGAAATATGTAGCAACCACGTAAAGTGGTTATTGCTAACGTATAGAATTCTGAAGAACTTATGCTTTTTATTTTATACAGCTCTTTAATATTTGAAAATTCATAACAAACAGCTATAATTACAATTGCACGAGCCAGAATTTATCTCAAGGAACTAAGCTACAAGGATATATGTTACGTCATTGTTTGCTATAGCAAGAAACTGGGGAAAAAATGTAAACGTCCAACAATAAAGGACTGATTAAATAAATTATGGTATATTATTAAAATAATGTTCTAGAGGAAGACCTAATAGCAGGTAAATAGATCATAATATTTTAAATGAAAAAAGTAGATTACAAACTATATATCTAAATTGGGGTTATTTTTCTCCAGGTTACAAAGCAATGTATACTAGATAGTCCCCTTTTTGTGGAAAAGAAATTTCCTACATGTTTCATTTTTCTGTACTTAGTTTAAATATTACTTCTATGTATTTCTTCTCAGCCAATCTTCACAAAAAATGTATAGAATTGGTATTACTAAGAAACCAAGCTTCAGGAAAGTTAAATAGTCTTTTTCCTTCTTCGAATCTTTGATTACATCTTTTGTTTTGTTAAAACGTCACAAAGTTGCTTTACAATTGATTTTTCATAATTCTTAATTGCTGTAGTTCTTGAAGGTTATAAATCTGGTTGTTTGTTGTTTCTGCTGATTTTCATTCATGGTAGCCAGTTTCCCTGTGTTATTTGGTGATTTTCGATTGTCAGTGTATATTTGATTAAACGTAATACATAGGAATCCTTACTATCTAAATTGGGGTTCCTTTCCTCCAGAGATAATTTGGATTTTCATAGTTAGGAAGCCAGGAAGCTTCCTACTGGGGAATACTTTAGCTCCTTCAAGATTCCCAGCTAAATACTAGTCTCTACTTCAGCCATCCTACCTGTGGCAAACTTCCTCAGCTTCTTTCTTCTCTCAAACCCAGGTTGATATTGTTATTGCTCCTTGACTTAGGAGTTTGTTTGCCATTCACCATTTTTGTTTTACCTCATTGTATGTTTGCCCTTAGGGCTTTCTCTTGCTTTGTGAGCAATGCTTTAAAAGGTATACTTAGGGGCCGGTCGAGTGGCG